AACTACTTCGTAAATGTTCATATGGTTGCTAAATCCAAATTCAGCTAAAAACAAACTGGCCTAGAAACATGTAAAATTCGAAAAAGTGAACCGTCAACCGAGGTCTTCAAAGGTCCGCAAAGGCCTTTGAATTATAGCGCGAAGATATAAGAAATAATGACTTGTTAGACGGAGTTAGCCAGGGGAAAGCGCCCCCTACCGGGTTTGCGGTGGTTGGAATTATCCCCGGGACCGGCCGGAAAGTCATCGCTCTTTATCCTTTCTAAAAAATTGCATTTAACAAGTTTGGGTAGGCAAGTCTTGGCAAAACAATAAAGTCTCGTCACCTCATCGCAATTTGACCGTTTTCACTTTTTTTGCAAAGCGCGGTGGCCTCCAGGGCCTTGAGCAAAGTCACGAGCGTTGCTATATTTTTAGGGCATAGTCATTTCTTGAGTTCCATGTCTGTGTCAAGGTCTGTGTAGTCCAGGGGTCGGCAAATGGTGGGGCATGCCCCCTTTGGGGGTAATGGCGCCCTTCGGCGGGGGGTAATGAGGGCCTCTGAGAAAGCCTTATTTTTTAGAGTTAATGGCTCCCTTGATGGGACAGACATCGCAACTGTTTTGCCCTGCAGGATTCAAAAATTAGTCGAGGGCAAACGCACAAAGCATGAACTGATCAGCTGGCGCATGCCAATTTTCATGTACAGCCCACCGCTAAAGTAATGTAGGGTTTTACCAATCTCAACGGTTGGCTTTGACTGGCGATTGTTTAATGCGGAGTGATCGAAAAGAAGATGTCAATAGCTAAAGTTACAGCTGCAAGGGTGACGATACATATAAGCTACATTCAAAGTTTCATTGTAGTCTGGCTAATCGTTCCTAAGCTTCAGAAGCAGAACATACCCATGACTGAAAACCCACATTACTTCTGCTGTGGACTGTACATAGCTGCTCACCATTCCGTACAGTCGCGCAAAAGTAACTGTCATGTATTAGCCGGCGCTCGCCTGTTGGCGTTTTCACAGTCACTGACGCAAGGGAGAGGAGTTGTCCATTGCACCCTGACCCGAGCATCTCGGCCTCTGAGCTGGAGCTTTGCAGAAAAATTGAGCGTGCTGCCCGTGAAGATAGGCAGCCGCTGCTACCCAATTTAAAGGTCCTTGGTCATTTGGCGACCTTCCAGAGGTCAATGACAAGTCCCGAGTAAATCGGCTCTTGCTGTAACTTCTTGAAGTGAGATTTTGTGGACTGCCATGATCTCAAGAAAGATCTCACAAATCAACGGTTATTCGGGTTAAGGTCATGCCATTTTCAGGACAGATAAAAATGATCGGCTCGAGGGTACAGTTTTTATGATCCGACCCTTTTAACGTGATCTATTCTCGAAAAATACACGCTACCCCTATTCGTATGGGGGTTAACCCGCGCCCTGATGGGGCTCCTGGGTATCCACGCCCTGCTGGAGGTGGAAGTTGAACCCCCTCCCTCCTTCTAACTTGTCTCCTGGGTCACTAGCGAAACGCCGTAGTCGGCGTTCGAAAGAGAGTAAGACATGATGAAGGAAAACTATGGCCACTTTTTAGGTCAAGTCAAAGGTCAGCTCACCAGAGGTCATCGAACGTAAAATTTCGCCAATTTCCAGGTCAACCTTTGACAATTTTCAACAAACTGGCCTATAGCTCAGGAAAGGATAGAGCTACAGAGCTGCGGAAAAACGCATTCGATAGCTCTCTTAACGTTTTTTTCTGATGACGCCCTCAGATTTAACCTAAGAATAACGATTTAGCCTGCGGAGACAAAAATGGCTAAAATGTACGTTGTTTGCTGATAAAATGTACGTTGTTTGCTGATAGTTTTTCTTCAGTAGCGTTTAATCACTCAGAACTTGCAAGAGCTCACTTTTATCAGCATCGTACTCCCCCCGTCGAGAAGCATCGAAGGTCTTGTTGCACATCAGGTGATCCGTGTCGTCGAGCTAAACACATCTAAGGTATTTTCATCGCTCTGGCATGCATTTAGGTATCAAAAGTTAATAGCGAAAAACTATTAGATACCGTTCACGACCTGAAATGACCTCAGGGACATACAGCGGGGTTACGGGTGCAGTTTTCCGGCTCAGTGGTCAATGGTCATGTTTACTTGTGATTCAGTGCTTCACAGTGCTAGGAATGACACTCATCCAAAAGAGGCGTCTTTTAATTTCTACCATTGACTTTGCGACCTCTCCCATTGATAACGAGAGAGGGCGTGAAAGTGAGCTGACCTTTGATCACCTACATCAAATATCCGAGATGCAAATTTTGTACACGTTTTGTTGCCTTTGTCAATTCCTGAAAGTTTGAAAGACATCTGTTACTCTGTGTAGCTACAACAGGCGTTTACAGTTTTTACTGAGGAGAGGTCACTTGACGTGATCTGGTGACCTGACTTTGAGCGACTTTGGTCTGAAATTTTCACAACATGTGCAGACAAAATGCATGACAAAATGTGACAAAATGGTGGCGCTCAACTTTTTTGAGATATTTGCGAGAAACCGCAGGGGGGGGGGGGGAGCCTGTGGTTTCTCGCAGATATGGTACCCAAAGAGTCGCGGAAAAGTATGGAATTTTAGTAACCATGGTTATATCACCAATGGGGTCTGGCAGGTGGGGGTAATGGCGCTGCCTGGCGCCAAAAAAGGGGGCACGACCCCGGAGGACCTGCCGACCACTGGTGTAGTCCAAGGCCCTATATACCGTGTAGTCAATAAGGTCAATAAATATCATTTTTATCAAGGCACATTGCTTTGTGACATAATTCTCTTTTTTGTCTCTGGGCTGCTTTATAGTTACTCTCGGCTCCGTTACAAATATATGCCCGTGGCAAAGGTAAAAAAGTGCAGTTTCAGAATTTGTGGAGTGAAAACGTAATCCGAATGTGAAACCCCTATAGACTTGTCTTTTCAAGTGATGGAGCTATTAGTCGCAAATGAAGAAGGCGACGCACGGCGACCCTATCGGCCTATTCAGCGCGTCGGAAACGTTTTCGACAAAGATGACTCTTTTCTGTTGAAAAGGTATCGCATGCCGAAGAACATGTTGGAAGACATCACCACAAAGGTACGTGGCCACCTACAAAACAACAATCGTGGTCTCAACATACCACCTGATGTACAGGTGGCATGCGCACTACGCATTCTGGCTGAGGGGAGCTTTCAGCGTCCGGCCGGCGACACCGTCAACGTCAGCCAAGCCTCTGCCAGCCGCATAATCCACCGCTTCTGTGAGGCTCTCATTGCCACGCACCCTGAGGCGATCCGATTTCCAAGCAGAGAAGAAGAGGTGCAAGTCACGAAGAATCTGTTTGAGGTCAAGTTTGGCCTACCCGGAGTGCTTGGATGTGTGGACGGCACCCACATATACATAAAGGCTCCGTCGATAAACGAGCACCTCTACGTCAATCGCCATCAGCGACATAGCCTGAACATTCAGGCCGTGTGCGACAGTAACATGCTGTTCACCAATGTGGTAGCGAAGTTTCCTGGAGCGAGCCACGACGCCTTTGTCTTTGAACAAAGTGCCGTGGGACAGCTGCTTGCAGCATCGAACGGCCAACTGGGCTACCTGCTGGGCGACAGCGGTTATCCTCTTCGCCCCTGGCTCGTTGTCCCATTCGATGAGCGACAACAAGATGAGATGACGGCAGATAAACTGGCTTTCAACAGGCGTCACACCAAGTGCCGCTCCATCGTAGAGCGGAGTTTTGGGATGCTGAAGTCACGGTACAGGTGAGAAAAACCTTCTTGCTCGTCTTAAAAATCGTCTGCTGGAATGTACTAACACTCGCCCAGCGACGGGGGTTGATGCAAGATGCAACTCCCTAAGGGTTCTCACAAATAGCGTAAAAAGGGCGGCCCACAGCGCCACCAAATATTGCATACTTTCTAGGGCAACCTTTTGACATATCTCCCGAAAATTTCAGGTTTCAGTCGTTTTAGGTCAGGTCACCAGGTCACAAAAACTAGTACAAGGTCAGGGTAAAGTTGGAGTAGCTTAGCGGCAATGGAATGACGGAGTTTTTCGTTAATAGCATACGTGCCGAGGCACTTAGCGCCACACAATTTCAGAAACAACTTAGGACATTCATTTGACACATGTCCTAGGCGTTTTGAGCTTCAGTGACCTCCTTTCAAGTCACAAGGTCACAAAACTCTATAATTGTCAAAATGGCACTAAAAGTACACTATTTTTTCCATACAATCTAGAGCTGTTCGTCGCCTTAATTCAAACTTGCAGGATTTGCTAAGCTCACCGAGTGCCACTGCATGCATCCCAGTTTTTTTTTAATTTAATTGTTGGTTGAATTGCCAGTTGTTTTCACCCCCAACGCATAGGTACATTTTTGTTACTGCTTCGACTGCTGTTTTACAGGTGCCTGGATCGCTCTGGTGGAGTCCTTCAGTACTCACCCGAGAAGGCGTCCAAAATAGTCGTTGCGTGCACTACGCTACATAACTTGTGCATGCTGGCTGGTCTGCCTGTGCCTGATGAGCAGCCAGAACAAGAGCCGGAGCCAGAAGAGCCGAGAGCTGAGCTGCAGCTTGCAGAGGGCAACGGAGCGGCGCTGCTCCGACAGGGTGCTGAGCTCCGCAATCGCCTAGTGGCGCTACTCAACGGCCGCTAAACAGACGCGGGACGTCAAACGTCAACATGAATAGAGAGAGGATGCATGTCCTTTTTGTAAATACTACACAATGTCCATGTGCTAAGCGACAAATTGTGTATGTGCGTAAGTGTGCGTGCGTGCGTGCGTAATGCTGTACGTGTGCTACTGCTCATGTAAATGCATCCGAGAATTTGTATCAGTTGGTCGTGTCACACCGGCGAAAAAACAGCATGTCAACCTTTCCAATTGATCAGCTTTCAAGGTGTCTCGTACTAATACACCTTTTTAATTAAAGTCAAAATTTTGGATTTTATAATTAATTTCCCAAAAAAGTCACTTTTTCAAAAAATTTGGGCCCAAATAAAAAATTTTCAAAAAAACCGTGATAGCAATTTCATAGACAAAGTAGAATCACGTATAACCTTTTTTGTTACGACTTGATTCCCTTAACCCTATTCCTGGCGGGGGCCTTTAAGGCCCCCCCCCCCCTCTTCAGGTTTTTCTTGTGCCATTGTCAAACGCCGCAAGACGGAAAGCTCATACTCGGTGACTTTTTCTAAACATTCATTGCGCACATTTTGACAAAAAAAAGTTGCCGGGTCAGGTCAGGTCAGGTCACCAGAGGCGGTTTGGTGACCCCACCTCAGAAAAGTTTGCAATCACGCCAGAGCTAGAGTTTTTGACCGATCAATTTCTTCTCTTCAGGTTTTAGTTAGGGTACCAGTATGTGCAATTTATATATCTCAGAAATTTCATATCTGTGACCTGAGGTCAGGCCAGACTCGCGACCTTTACATTGCAAGCCTATGGGAAAATATTGAAACGCCTCCTGTTTCGTGTAAACGAGTCAAAACCACCCAATTCTTTCAGTATTATGGAAGATTATCTCATCGGTGATGATCCTGGTGCCGCTCATTGACAGGGGCACCAGCAAAGGTCATCTGAGGTCATGTGACGTCATAAATTGTTTTTCTGTCAATAAATCACGACATGATGGTGCTAAAGAATTGTAAGTGGTACCAAACTGCTCGCCCTGGTCAAGGCGCGTCGTTTGGTATGCAGCATGACCATACCCCACAACCTCATTGATGAATGACCTGACCTTGACCTCAGGTCAAATTTCAAATTGACCTGTGAAGGTCATCACATACTTATTTCGCATCGCCTCGGCGAGAGCAACAAAAAATGTATGGTTTTATGTCTCTATGTTTCTTAGTTTTAAAGTTATATAGGTTACTAATTCCAAAACATTTTATCGTTGATGACCTCTGGTGACCTCAATATTGACCTGACCTGAAGATGTTTTATGTAAAAGTTGTAGATCTTTAAACGACCTATCAAACGCCGTTTGCCGTTTGTCGCTGCGATGTGTAGTTTTTTAGATCTGAAGAGGGGCCAAATCGGCCCCCCCCCCCAGTTTCTTGTCCCGGCGGAGCCCGCCAGGAATAGGGTTAACCCGCGCCCCGCTAGGGGGGGGACAGAATCTGTCCCCCTCCCGTTTTTCGCCAATAACTTCTAAACGCGTTACGCCAGCGACGTCAAACTTTTAGTACCTTATCATACATCAATTTGACACGTTCCCTGAAAATTTGAGCGAAATCCGTCGGAATTTTTTTTGAGAAATTGACGTTTTAGTGACGTCATGTTCGCCATTTTCGCCTCAAAAACGGCAAAATTTCCAACGCCGCTAACATCTTCATTTTTAAAGGAATCAAGACGTAACAAAAAAGGTTATACGTGATTCTACTTTGTCTTTCAAATGGCTATCTCGGTTTTTTCCGAAGATAGATTCTCGGTTAAACCGAATATACATAAAAAGACATGTTGTCTTACCGTGGCTCGAAATTGTTGAACAGTCTTCCTTTCCATGTACGTACGATGGTACGGAACTGTTCTAAAACTGAATTTGTGCATTACATGCTTGATAAAGCGGCCTGAATGTGTAACAATTCGATGTATGAAGAATTGAACATTGTGCGGTGTATGCATGTGTATGTAATGTGTATGCATGAAGTGGTACATGAAGATGTACCACTACTCACTACTCATCGTAATACCAACTACTTTGTGGTTGTCGGGTATACTGAAATAGTAATAATAATGAAACTAGCAAATGCTAAATACAATATTCATTTTTAACTATGCTAAATACAGTTCAAAAACCCCGCCTCGAATGATCTCTTGTATAAAAAGAAAATCCTCATAATCTTGTATTGTATTGTATTGTATTACCTTCATGGACAATCCACGCGGGGCGTGGCGATTACAGTCCAGAGTCTGAGTCGGGCACAAACAAAAACATGCGGGGACAAGAAACACAGGCATACAGATTCAATCGCTGGACATTCGCTCTCTCTATACCTATACAAACGTACGATTCAAGACAGCACACCGCACACGGATGTCGCACCTCCTTCCTCTGACACGGGTCATCGTCGGGCGGTCGCCATCGCCGGACAGACTGCAGCCTTGGCCGCACGAGCGAATGGGGCGGGGCGCTGTTCGATGACACCGGGAGGCAGACTGTTTAGTAGCGCCGCGGCCCGGTAGCCGAATCGACGCTTGCCAGTCTCGAGCCGCGAGCGTGGAAGGTGGAAAAGGTGGTCCTGTCGAGTGGACCTCTCTCGCGCGTCACTGTTATTCATGAAGATGGCAGCTAGTGCTTCGGGCTCGCCGTTGCTTATTATTTTCTGCGCAGTTACCATGGTTTTAACATCGGCCATAGCTTTCGGAGGCATCCATCCGAGTGAATCGCGGAGGCCAGAGACGTGATCGAATTTCCGGCGGCCGAATATGACCCGTGCTGCAAAGTTTAGAATTTTTTGAAGTCGGTCGAAGTTTTTCTGGGAGCCATTTCCATATACAGTGAGGCAGTACTGGACGCGCGAGATGACGAGTGCAGTCACGATCGTTTTGAGGATACCGTCTGGGAGGCAGTGTCGTGCGTGGGAGAGGCCGATCAGTACGCCCATGCAGCGACGGCTCAGCTCGGCCACGTGTGCTTCCCAGGTGAGTGCGCCGTCGAATACAACACCCAGGTTTCCCACCTGCGCGCACGGCAGGAGCTCAGCGTCACGGAAAGAGATTTTGAAGCGAGGCAGGTTACGTAGGTTTTGTCGGCTACCGAATACCATCAGTTGAGTTTTAGAAGCGTTGACTTTCAGGGCGTGTGCGCAGAACCATGCGTTAAGTGACTCTAGCGATGCCTCCATGCGCGAGATGAGACTCCTGATGTCGTTGCGTGGGCCGCTCACCAATATCTGGGTGTCGTCTGCGTACTGATAAGCGGTGGCGTCTCCGGCAAATAGTGAGAGGTCGTTGGAGAATATAGTGAAGAGGAGGGGACCCAAAGCCGAACCCTGGAAAACTCCTACGGTGTTTGGGAGCGGTCGAGAGGTTATCTTACGGCCGGTTTTGTCTTTCAGGGATACACTCTGCGTGTGTCCCTGAAGATAAGCGGAAAACCAGGAGGTCTCAATACCGTGGATTTGGAGCTTTTTGACAAGGAGTTCATGGTCAATGACGTCAAAACATTTGCTAAGGTCTATGAGGCATAGCATTGAGATCTCACCCCTATCGGTGGCGGCAAGGATGCTATCTGTGACTGACAGCAGTGCAGTCTCAGTGGAGTGTCGGGGGCGGAATCCGTGTTGGGTAGACGAAAGAAGGTGGTTATGGGTGAGATAGTGATAGAGCTGCTGATGGATTACACGCTCGATGATTTTCATGATTACGGGAACTAGGGAGATCGGTCTGAAATTGCTGGGGTCAGATGGGTTGCCCGACTTGAAGATCGGTTGAACGATAGAGTGTTTCCAGGGGTCAGGAATGTCGGAACGGGTGATTGAGACGTTAATGATGTGTAAAATGATGTCGCCAATAGTTTGGAAGCATACTTTTAACATGCGGATGCATATACCGTCAGTGCCACGCGCGGCAGAGTTTCGCATGCTGAACACTGTGAGTCCGAGTTCCCCGAGAGTGATGGCCCTCGGCCTAAAGCTGCATGCGCCGACACGGGGTAGACGTACATTTAGATCAGTATCGTTGTTTTGGGTACTCAGTTCGGCGGCAATGCGGGGCCCGACAGAGACGAAGAAGGAGTTCAGATCGTCGGGAGACAGATCGGGCTGAATATTTGGACCATCTTTCTTTCCAGCGATCACTGATTTGATGCTTTGCCAGACTTTGTTTACCCCACGCTCGCTGATCTCGTTTTGGAGGACGTGACGGCGGTCTCGGCGTAAGGCGGCACGGACGGAGCGGTTAAGAGCCTTATACTCGGGAGACTCGCGGCCTAGCCGACGTAACGCGGAGCGACGCCTGGACATGATGTCGCGGGTGGCGGCAGATACAGGGGGCGCTGTAGGATTTCTTATCAGCACATTTTTGAGGGGGGCATGGTCGTCGAAGACAGGTAGAAAGTTGTCTAAAAAGACCTGCCACTTGTCAGCAACAGACGTCGAGTTATAAACTTCCTGCCAATCGACACTCAGCAGCTCTTGGTTGATAGAGTGAACGTCCACTTGGTTAAGTGATCTAGATTGGATGACAGTTGGTTTTAGGCGCTGCTTAGGCACGTCGACGGTCACGTGGATGAGTTTGTGTGGGCTGAAATGGCAATGGACTACGCTATAAGAACGCACAAATTTTCGGTTTTGTACAATACACACGTCCAAGAGAGAACCGGTAGTGAATGTTGATGTTGTCACGAGTTGATCCAGGGAGTAGTCAGAGAGGAACTCGCTGATGTGTTGACGGGCGGGAGAGCTAGCGCTCTTTAACAAGTCACAATTCAGATCGCCGCATATAACAAACGGGACGTTGGGGTGGTCGATAAGGACACGCTGAAGCTAAGTTTCCAAGTCGGTAAAATCCGCACGCAGTGCGGTCGCGGAATAACGCGGCGGTCGGTACACCGAGCAGACAATCAGATTGCGATTTTTTGGTAATTTCAACAATGCCCACTGCGATTCCAGAAGACTGTCCGGGCACTGCGAGCTTGGTGGCTTCAGTGC